ATCTGATAAAATTTACAAATAAGAATAATTTTACCTGTTTTTAGGATAAGTTGTCTCCCACAATTATTTTTTTTTTCCATAAATGATAAACTTTTTTAATCAAGCAAATTTTTTGGTTCCAAATCGGGACGAAAATGATCGGAGGGAAATGTCTTTTTCTAGTTTTTTGTTCTAGAGGGATTGAAGAGAGAAAAAAAAAAGATATTTTTATTCTGCATTGTTTAATTAAATAAGTAACATGTTTCCTTCTCATAATCAAGTGTATTCAGATCTATGTCCTTATGATACATCTTCATTTTAATCCAACAGTTATTAATTAGTTTAATTAATTCTACGGTTATTATTCTAAAACAGTACCGTCTCATAACGAGACTCTAGTATGTATATATATATGTGTGTAGATATAATTGGTACATGTAACAAAGATTTTTACCCTAACATAACATACATTTGAATGAAAAATTGTTTTTTCTTATTCTTAGTAAAAATAATCTCAGACTCCATTTTGTTTCTTATTCCATTCATTCGACAGGAATACCACCGCTAACCAAAAACAAAAGAACAAAAAATTTTTTATCAAAAAACTAATAAAAGAAAGCATGAAACTAACGAGGAACATTCAAACAAACACTGATGGTGAAGCATGCATATTCAAGCAAAAAAAACCAAATGAATGGACTGAATTGAAATGAAAATATTATCCAATCATTATCAATATAATTGAATTTGGCAACATAAAAGAGATGAAGAATACAAAGAAAAACAAGTCTTGGGCTCATAGAATGAATATAATTCCTATTTTTCCGGCACGTTGAGTTTTGATGTAGTTGTTTTATTGTATCTTTTATGTTGTTTATCTAGACTATCTAGTGTTTAGATAATTGATAGCTCGGATGTAATATCTTTCTAGCTAGAACTTGATCTTTGTAATGAGTTTTGCGCTTACCTTTGTATTCAAAGGGAATAAAAATCAACCTTTATTCCAAAAAATAAAAATAAAAATAAAAATAAATTGTGAACATAAACCATCAAGAACTATACCAATCATTAATTAAAACGTGCGCAGTCATTACAAATTTTCCACTTGTGCTAGATGTTTACAAGTCCTCGTGTTTGGACCTAATATTGTGAATTTTAGTGATCGAGCTAGTCTTTCAATGTGATAGTAGAAGGCATATTGTAACATTAATGGTTTACAAGATAATAATCACTATAGAGTTTTTCTTAGACGATGGTCATTTCAGAAACTTTTAAAGTGAATATACAAAAACTCCAATTAGACTCTTAACCAGAACTCTTTATTGTCATTGGCAATTATTTAAATCAAACGTTCCTACCAAATGATGAATGCAATTGTGAACAAACAGAAACTATTTTAATTTTTATAGTTAATAAATAAAATTGATGGATGACGAAGCATGGATCTGCACGGTGCCTTAGGACTGGCGACGATGATGATCTCGACGGCGGACGGTCTAAAACCTGCAAGACGGAGTCTCGGAGGTCTCTCGAGGGTAGACTCTCCGATACTTAAGTCAATAAGGGAATAAAAAGAGTAGAGAGAGAATGATGTGTATCGTGTGTAGAAGGTGTAGAAGATAGGTAGAAGATATGTATTTTGGGAGAGGCACCACCTCTTTATATAGAGGTGGTGTTACTTGTTTCCTGAAACCTTAGCGGAATGGGTTTAGGCGGTGGCTTAATCTCCAAGTAACCTAATCCTAGGACAAGGGTTTATTTTGGACTCGTCAAGTGCCCCTAGCAATCCATATTCTCGAGACTTGATGAGAAGGATATGGGTTGCTACGAATGTTGATGTCTTCTCGTGGTGTTGCCCCAGTTCTCGAACTCTTTCGTTCTCGGGTGTCACCTATGCAAGATAAAGAGAATAAAGTGTCTCGAGGAGGTCTTTGTATTAGTGAGTTCCTGATTAGAAGGGGGAAGCCTGTGTCTGCCGAATTAGGAGGATTTCACATAGATTCTCTTATTTGAAGGTGAGAAGCCTGTAGTTGCCTGTCTTGCAGGTCTTGTGGTTGTGCCCATCTAGTAGGTCTTATTTGGCCATTGCCCGACTAGCAGGTCTTTGTGGGTCGTGCCCGACTAGCAGGTTTTATTTAAATCCGGTACCTGACTAGCAGGTCTTTGTGGGTCGTGCCCGACTAGTAGGTCTTATTTAAACCCGGCGCCCGACTAGCAGGTCTTTCGTTGACATGCAATATAGTATGATGTATGTATCAAAAAGATATTCAGATGATAAAAGTAATATGCTTATAACAAGAGTTATGATGTCAGTGATGTATGAACTTATATTCGAGAAGCATATAATAATGACAAGGTTTGAGAAGTACCTCAGTCTCGATATAAATTGATTACTCAAGAAAGTGTTACCTCGATTCCGAGAAGTTATTATTTGAGTAGATGAAAGTCGAGATACGTCTTCTCGAATACTTCGAGTAGTAGTAAGGTGCTCGAGGGATGCTTGCCCCTTCGAGGAGATGTATTTTCTTGAACACTTCGTGTAGTACTATGGTGCTTGAGAGATTGTTGTCCCTTCGAGGAGATGTATCTCTCGAAACTCCAATTTTCGAGATTGCCCCTTGCTAATTGTTCTTCTCGATCAGCTGTATTTGTGCAATCGAAAGCTTCTTTGTGCTACTTGTCGGCTGAGGTCTTCTTGGCCAAACAAAGATAATTTTTTACGTGATCTTCTAGTTGCAAAATCAGAGCAACGAATTAACATCGTGGCAAAGATACAAAAGATTCCGTGCTTTGCTAAGAAATTTATTTGGTTGTGAAGACCAAACAAATCGGTCCCACCGGGCGTGCTACTTGACGAAGCATGGATCTGCACGGTGCCTTAGGACAGGCGGCGATGATGATCTAGGCGGCGGACGGCCTAAAACCTGCAAGACAGAGTCTCGGGAGTCTCTCGAAGGTAGACTCTCCGGTGCTTAAGTCAATAAGGGAATAAAGAAAGTAGAGAGAGAAGGATGTATATCGTGTGTAGAAGGTATAAAAGATAGATAGAAGATATATATTTTGGGAGAGGCACCACTTCTTTATATAGAGGTAGTGTTACCTGTTTCCTGAAACCCTAGCGAAATACGTTTAGGCGGTGGCTTAATCTCCAAGTAACTTAATCCTAGACCCAATAGAAATAGACCTAGGGTTTATTTTGGACTCGTCAATGGAATGTCCACCAACGCTGAAGGAAAAAACACTAGGCTATTTAATTACAATTTCATATCCTTTAGATTAAACCGATTCAAAAGGCTAAGAAGAGCCAAATTTTCATTCGATTACAAAATGAAAACTTCATTGTTGGAGTTTTTTTTTTTTTTTGCGCCCTTTTGGTTGATAACATTTATTGAGGTTCCTTTAGTGAGAAGACGCAAATAGGTCCTGGAATGTGCTGGGCAGTCTTTGGTAAAACAGCTAGAAATTAAAGATGTAGATAAAAATGAAGTTCGAAGTTTTAAGAGTGCAAATTATATAGACTTTGAATAATAAGATTTTTATTATACTTTCTCAACTTACTCTCCCAATCTCTTCTTAATTTTCCATCTCCTCATTTTTCGGTAGTTTCCTCATGTTTGATCTCAAATTGATGTCTCCTATTGAAAATACGTATGCTGTAATCTCTGTAAAGCAAGTTTGGAATGAAGAAGGAAAGTAAACCCATTCCCTCCTATTCTTATTATCATAAAGAATTTTAATTTGTCTTAAATTCTACTTAGTATATTTTTTAATTGAAAATAAATTCATAAAAATATATTTGCGTACTTATTATGTTCTTCTACTTAATATAAAATATTTTTAAAATTTTATTTTTAATTAAAAAATATACTAAATGAAACGTTGGACAAATAAAAAATATCTTATAATAGGGATCGGAAAGAGTAAATTTTCAGTTAACCAAAAAAAAGAAAAGAAAAGAAAGACTATATAAATAAGAAAGACTATATTTTCACGATAAAACTCTAGCATTTCAATATCATTAGACATTAACTAAATCAAAACGATTCACCAAATTTTGTCCGAATGAACTCTACTAGCATCACCAACCGTGTAACGATTTGTGACTGGATACCAATGTTTATGACTTATGACCATGGATTAAAAACCCATTTGAAAACTATTTTGAGACCAGGAAAATCCAAGACCATAGAATCTTCCTTCAAAAAAAAAAAAAAAAACTAATTTGCAGATGAGACATTTACTTGATCCCAAACTGGAAACAATTTTGGCTGACTTCGGGATGCATTATGTGCAAACTTAATCCATGGTCAATACATCTAGGCTCTATTTGGACAAGAGTTCTAAAAAATCTTTTATAACTAAAAAGTATGTTTAAAGTAAAAAAATTATTTGGTCAACAAATTCAGAGTCTTTTTGAAATAGACTTTTTAAAAAATAAGTAAAAGATATTTTTTAAATTTTCAGAACAAACTTTTTCATTAACGGTTTGAGATTCTAGACGGGTTGAAACTGGGTCATAATACAAATCGGACTGTCTTTCCCTACTTAGGCCATTACACTCTTCACGTTATTTTTCTTGAGTTTTCAAAATGTTACTACTTCTGTCCCAAAAAAATAGTCCATATTGAATTTTCAAATTTATACTAAAAATAGTACAAAACTCAAAATTCAATGTGGATTATATTTTTGCGGGACGAAAGTAGTAATATATAACAATGTCCTAAATTTCACTGAATTCTCACCTGTCGCAATTACAGATGGTGATGCTCTTTGAATGTGTATAGTGTATGCTGTAATAGTGTTTATATTGAATATCAAACATCTAAGTAGGTTATCAATTAACCCAATGATCATAGTTCTATTTGAATGAATATCTTCTTTTTTGGCATTATCAATTAAAATAAGTTCCTAAATCCTAACAATTATTAAACGAAGTAATTCGAATTTCCAAATGTTCATACACATCATAAAAATTAGTTTATCCACTCAGATTCTAAAGTAGCTTCACCCCTTAGTTTATATTTTTATAATCTTACAGACGTTGGGGTCAAAGGATCAAGACTTGTTTAAGTCCTCCGGATGATGACATCATCTCAGATTTAGCTCAAAATTTTCATTGGGTAGACATAAAACTTTCACATAGATTGCGTATTCATCTTTATCAAAGCATGATTCACGCAAGGAGTTGGAATTTAGTAACATTAGTCATTGTCAACTTGACCCACATCCCCTGAAGCACCAGAAACAAAGAAAGTTGTGGTACTACACAGTGACTGGTACATTTTGCTTGTTTGATTCTTTTTTTGATATCTGATTCTTGCCCTCTTTTTTATTTTGAAGTTTCTTCATTTCCATATTTGCCAGTTGATTTTCTCATTTTTCCCATGTTTAAGACAGCTTAATTAATTTGATTGGTTCACTGGACTAATGTGGCAGGCAGGAAGATTCTCCCTTTCTAATGGCAGCTAATAATAGCATCGTTTTCTTGATTTTCAAGTTCATTTATGGAAAGAAGAGAATCGGGTTCTCTTGCATTTGCTCTGTCTATGTGACTGTAACTGTAAGTGATTCTGCCTTTTTCGCTGTCCCTTCCATTTACACTTTTTTTGTTGCTTGCTTGCTTGGACAATAACAATAGGGGGTTCTTGTTATGCTGTGTCTCCATGAAGTTCTTGTTTACCAATTGAGGATCTGTTTGTACTGTGTATTTAATTAATTTCCCTGGGATGAAGAAAGGTGCAATCTTTGTAACATTTATGATGATTGTGCCTTTAGATTGATCGTTTTCTTTATTTAATACAGTTCCGGAGTATTATCCTCCAACCCCAGAAAAAAAGCAGCTTTTCTAGTTTTATGATGGCCATATTCTCAGGGTAGTCACAGTTTCAGGTGCTATCCTGCAAGGCTATGAATCAGCTTTAGAAGAAACCTTTTACCTTTGTGGGTCAGTTCAGGAGGGAGTACTTATGAGTTGGCCTGCTAGGAAGTTGGGGAAATTCATCTAGGATGAATGCGATTCGGTTGTTTTTAGTGTTAAGGTTACTCTTGTTTGGACTCTTGCCAAGAGGGTCGAGTGGTGAAAATGTTTCTGCCTCCGCAAGACCATCTGTGGTTTATGTTGGGGCGATTTTCACCTTTGACTCCACAATTGGTAAAGCTGCAAAGATTGCCATTAAGGAGGCAGTTAAAGATGTGAACTCCAACTCCAGTGTCCTCTCGGGAACCAAACTCGTTGTGAACATGCACAGTTCTAATTGCAGTGGATTTGTTGGAATGATTGGAGGTATTCATTTTTCTCTTTCGTACTTTGCATTTAACCGTAATTTTTCTCTCTTCATTTGCTAAAGAAATGTTGGGGAAACGAATTATATTACAACAATTTTTCAGCTTTTCTGTCACTAAACTGAGGACATTACTCTTGAATTCAACATGATTTTGTGCTCAATTGAAGACATCTACTATTATGATTACAACTTTAAAATCTTTTCTGGTTTGCAATTTGTTTTTTTAACAAGACACTGAAGTTTCAGTGCTTCACTTGAATTTCAGCTCTGCAGTTTATGGAGACGGACACTGTTGCCATTATTGGACCTCAATCTTCTGTTGTAGCGCATACCATATCTCATGTTGCAAATGAACTTCAAGTACCTCTATTATCTTTTGCGGCAACAGATCCTACCCTCTCTTCTCTTCAATTTCCTTATTTTGTTAGGACAACCACCAGTGATTTGTACCAGATGACTGCTATCTCTGAAATGGTAGACCATTATGGTTGGAAAGATGTAATTGTGATCTTTCTGGATGATGATTATGGGAGAAACGGCGTGTCTGCATTAGACGACGCACTTTCAGCTAGGCGTTGCAAGATTTCATATAAGGCCGGAATCCCACCTTCAGGGGTGGTGAATAGGACTGACATAATGGATATTCTTATAAAGGTTGCTTTACTGGAGTCGCGTGTTATAGTTCTCCATGCTTATCGTGATGTTGGGTTCATGGTGTTTTCTGTTGCTCAATATCTTGGAATGGTGGGTGATGGCTATGTTTGGATAGCTACAGACTGGCTTTCTTCTGTGTTGGATTCCTCTTCCCCCCTTCCTTCTGAGACCATGGATTCTATGCAAGGAATTCTTACTCTGCGGCAGCATACTCCTGACTCTGAAAGAAAGCACGCATTCTCTGCGAGGTGGAACAAGATTACTGGTGGTTCTTTTGGCCTGAATTCCTATGCTTTATATTCTTATGATACTGTTTGGCTGCTCGCTCATGCCCTAGATTCATTCTTTGATCAGGGTGGAGTTATTAAGTTCTCCAATGACTCAAAACTAATGTCTATCCAAGGGAGCAATATGCACCTTGAAGCGATGAGCATTTTTGATGGTGGTCCACACTTGTTGAAAAACATTTTAGAGAGCGATTTTGTCGGTTTAGCTGGGCATGTCAAGTTTAATTCTGATAGATCAATCATTTTTCCAGCTTATGACATCATAAATGTCGTTGGTACTGGTTTCAGACGTATTGGTTACTGGTCAAACTATTCTGGCTTATCGACAGTGCCTCCTGAGACCCTATACTCGCAACCACCTAATCGATCTAGTGCAAACCAGCAGCTATATAGTGTAGTCTGGCCAGGGGAGACAGTGGTAAAGCCTCGGGGATGGGTTTTCCCTAACAATGGGAAGCTTTTGAAGATTGCAGTACCCAAAAGGGTAAGCTACAAAGAGTTTGTGTCACAAGAACCAGGAACCAACACATTTAAAGGATTCTGCATAGATGTCTTTGTGGCTGCTGTAAGCTTACTGCCATATGCCGTACCATATCAATTCATTCCCTTTGGAAATGGACGTGAAAATCCTAGCTACAATGAGCTTGTGAGACTAGTAAATGCGGGGGTATGTGGAAGTTTTTTTAAAAAAGCCACCTTTTTGGCAGTTGATTACTGATCTCTAGTTAACGAAATGAAAGTTTAATTTTCTACGTTTTGTTCAAATTTAACAGGTTTATGACGGCGCTGTTGGTGACATTGCTATTGTCACAAATCGGACAAGACTTGCAGATTTCACTCAGCCATATGCTTCATCAGGACTTGTTGTGGTCGCCCCTACCAGAAGGCTGCATACTAGTGCTTGGGCTTTCCTGAGACCATTTTCTCCGTCACTGTGGGGAGTTACAGCAGTTTTCTTTATTTTTGTTGGGATTGTAGTGTGGATTTTGGAGCATAGAAACAATGACGAATTTCGCGGACCACCAAAAAGGCAGCTGGTAACCATTTTATGGTAAATATGCAAAATTTGCTCCTTAATGGAAAGAAAAAGGTTTCATTCTGTCAGAGTCTTGCACCAGATATATATATATATATATATATTTTTTTTTTTTTTCCCCCTTGTTCATTCTTTGATTGCCTGTTTCTTGTTGAGATTACCAGGGTTCTTCTGCTTTTTCTGGGCCTTTATGCATGTGAAACTGTGTATCATGACCCTCACCTAATAGAATTAGGAGAATCAACTCCAGTAGATTGAAACTCTATCAGCTTTGCCACTTTGTCAATGCGTGGTCATTGGCAGCTATGGGATCATGTCACCTGTTAGGTTTGCAGTCTATTTGTCTTGCCTGAACGGAATTTTTTTTTACTGAGCAGGATGATGAGATATATTCATGTAAATGATTCATATAGCGAATATGAAATGTTTCTTTCTAAGCCAAAAAATCTAAAGTTCGATGTGCGTGTTAATGTGCATATAGTGATTGCTCTTCTTTCCCTCGGCCTCTTCTACTGTAGATTATCTACCCCATCATTGGATTCTTGGTGTACTTGTTAATGGATGTTTGCTGCATTGTAAAGATCTATTTGTCCTTTTTGCAGGTTCAGCCTGTCCACCATGTTTTTTTCCCACAGTAAGAGAACTAAATGTTGGCAAAATGATCACTTGCAATTAGGTCCATTCTCAGCAATATTTTAGCTTCTAATACTTTCCTTTTCTGCAGGAGAGAACACTGTGAGTACGCTTGGACGAATGGTGTTACTCTTATGGCTCTTTGTGGTCCTCATAATTAACTCTAGTTATACTGCAAGTTTAACTTCAACACTCACAGTCCAGCAACTGTATTCTCCCATTAAAGGGATAGATAGCCTGAAAGAAACTGACGATCCTATAGGCTACCAAATTGGCTCTTTTGCGCAGAACTATCTGATTGAGGAAATTGGAATACCTAGATCCAGGCTTGTCGCACTTGGATCACCCGAAGAGTATGCAAGGGAACTTGAGCGTGGTCCTAAAAATGGCGGTGTTGCTGCAGTGGTGGATGAACTTCCTTACGTAGAACTTTTCTTGTCAAGCCAATGCAAATTCAGGATTATAGGCCAGGAGTTCACTAAAAGCGGTTGGGGATTCGTAAGTTTTTAGCATTATCAAAATTTGTTTTGATAGATATTTTTATTTCCTCAAAATCTCACATGATATAACCATACTTCTGTTAGCCTGACAAATTTTAAAAACCTCATACTTGCTCCCTGAATGATCTTCCGAAAGGGTATGGTTTTCTGATGCATGGAGTGCTTTTTACGAACAAGTACTTAATTATTTGTGGTGTTGTTGTGTGCTTGTTAAACCAATGGCAATGGAGGTCTTCTTGCATGTGCAAAAGTCATGATATTACTTGAATGATAAACACGTACTCGCAAAAATTTTTATTTATTTATTTATTTATTTCTTTTTTAGTGGTACTCACAAGATCTCAAATCGTTTCTATGTAACAAACATCAGCTATACTTTTTGTTATCATTCATCCTTCTATGGAGCAAGCATAATTGATTCCTCCCATGTCATTTCATTCTTCCCCATATTGTTACACTGTCCTAGAAAGGTCACTGGTTGAAGAAAAACATTTGAAGTCACAAGTAGAGCAGAAAAACTGTATGCATTCTTGGTTTTCCTGATATGGAGAGAGACTCTGGCTTTGTATCTTAAAACCTATTTTCTTTTTCATATTAGGCATTTCCGCGAGACTCTCCCTTGGCCATTGATTTGTCGACTGCTATTCTTGCTCTCTCTGAGAATGGAGATCTACAACGTATCCACGATAAATGGTTGACTAGAAGCAGTTGCAGCTCAGATAATACTGAAATCGATTCACAACGCCTTCACTTATCCAGTTTCTGGGGCCTATATCTCTTGTGTGGCATCGCCTGCTTTCTTGCGCTATTCATATACTTCTTCCAGATTATGCAGAAGTTTCGGAAAGCTGCCCGACAAGCAGATCATTCCATTGCAGGTGAAGATCAATCCGGAAGCTCCTCACGATCAAAGCGACTGAAGACACTATTGTCAGTAATGGATGAAAAAGTTGATCTATCATCAGAGAGTAGCCATAAAAAGAGGAAGACTGAGAGGGCAGTGTCAGATAGTAACATTGAAATAAACTTCTCCAGAGATTAAGTAAATGAAGTTAATTTATTTATGATTCAATTTCAATTCTTTTAAGTGTATATATATCATCAGTCATACCCAATTCACAGTTTTTACAGCTGATTGGCTCTGTCACCACCTTTGACCAAATGTCACTATGTAAAATATACATTCGATCCATTCTAGGACAAATCCGTATGCTCACTAATTTTTGAGATTTGTTCTCTACCAACTATTACCGACTTGTTCTAAATAATATAAGGTGAATGTCTCTCTTTCATAATCACTTAATATAGCGACTTAATTTATTTAAGTTCTTAATGAAATTAAGTGTGTTTGATAATTCTTACTAAAAAGTCGTAATAAATTAAGTTCTGAACTAATTAAGTATTTATAAATTAGGTGCGTTTGATAATTAAAATTTCACTGTCTGAGTTAATTAAGTGTGTCTGAATGGCCAGTTCAATTGTGAGTCAGAAAATAAGGTCCCGTTTAATAAAACTTAATTTGGGTCTAGAGTCTAAAATCTGAACATTGAATCACAAGTACTGAATCAATTAAGTTTGTCTTGTTTGATAAAGGTCAAAATTTGAAGACTGAATAAAATGTCTGAAATTTGAAGTCTGAACACTGAAATTTAAAGTATCTTAACTTTTAATTTCATCTAGAAAAATAATTGATGTATATATATATATATATATATGAAACTATAATAATAATAATATTATTATTATTATAAAATTATTTTATAAAAATTTTCAATTTTATTATTATGTATAATTTTTCAATTAATAATAATATCATATCTTTATCATTATAAAAAAAAATCAATTAAGTACTTAAGTTTAAATGTTGAATTGGTTTATCAAACAGGACCTAAGTGATAGACCTACCACTTATCACTTAATTTCTGTAATGACTTTTGTTTTTTTCCTTTTTTTTCCTCGTCTTTATTTCGACACTTATTTTTACATTGTTTTAGAATTTTTATTTTCTTAAGATAAATTAAATTAAGAGTGCTTAAATTTGAATTTATATTATCAATATAAAAAATCTCAAACTTTCAAACTCAAATTAAACTAATTTTAATACATAAAATTTGCTAAATAACAAAATATACACATATATCGATATATGTAAATAATCTAAATTGAACTATACATTGATTATTTATCAAGTGTAATATCTACTTTCATTATATCTACCAAAAACTTATTTTCAAATTATTATTTCATTATTGAGAACAAAATATTAGTTATTTTTCTATTTAAATTAATTTTATTTATAATTCAATTTAAATGATATTAAAAATTTAAATAACTTTCAGATTTGAGTATTCAAATTTAACCTTCAGACATCAAACTTCAGTCTTGAGACATCAAATTCAGACGTTTTTATCAAACAGTGTAAATTCAGTCTTCAGACTTCAGACTTTAATGTTGAGTATTAAGTATTCAGATTCAAACTTCAGTGATTATCAAACGGAGACTCGGGTAAGATTAAGTTATAAATAATTGCATAGTTTGCTGCCTCTTATTTTTGTATGAGATCATGAATCAATATCGAAAATTAATTCTTTCTCTACTTTTTTTTTTTTTTATTAAACCAGGTCAGTACCTGGGATTTTTATTAATATCAGAAAATAATTTCAGAGCAGTGCTTAAGACTTACCCTGTACAAGAGGTCGTCAAAAGACGGACATTTAAATATCAGTAAATATACTGATATTTTCAAAAGAGACCAAATTGGATCTATACTAAATTAATTCTAATGTCGGTTCCAAACTCATCAGAATTATTTATCTAGTAAATCAAAAAGGATAAATTTCCGTCATCGTGTTCGGATCACAGATCTAAACTGCCGCGTTTAGTGGGCATATGGAGAATCTAAATCTGTGACTGATATACAGGAAAAATTTAATTCCTAAAAGAGTCCCTAAAATAAATAAAACCAAATCTGAACCAGAACCGTAACATACGAATTGACCGTATAAACCAAAGTGGTTTGTTTGGAAACCAGACCAGTGAACCGAGTTGAATCGGTTCACTATTAATTAAGAACCAGCAGTCCGGTTCATTATCGGTTTGATTGCCGGCTTGTCGTTCACAGTCGTGACCACCATCATCGTCGTCTCCTCTGGCCGAGAGAACAGAGTGGGGAGGGCTGAGGGAAGGGCCGCACGTCGTATTGTCGCCAAGGCTTGACTGTGCGTCGGACAGCAGAGTCCGCCGGCGTGGGCTGGGCTTCAGACAGCAAGGAGTGGATGCCGACCAATTCAGATCTGAGCACGAGACTCTGATCTGCACCAGTCAACACTGGTGATTTCCGGCATCGGCTCTGTTCTTGGATTTTGCAGCTTGCCGGACGATGCATCCCTGGGGTGTAGCATCGGCGTCTTCTCCATGGTCTGCATCTACCACTTCATCTGGCCGGCAGATTTGATCAGATCTGAGCGTAACGCTCGATCTGCACCAGTCAACACTGGTGTGTGGCCGTTCGATGATGGCCGAGCTTTTCCAAGCGGCGGCTGGGGATTGAGCAGGTGGAGATCTGTGGTTGGAGTCCGATTTCGGTTGCGGGATGGGGACAAACGGTGGCCGTGTTTGGAGTGACCTGGAGGCCAGGAGGCCGGTATGAAACAAGAGGAGAAATAAAAGACAGAAAAAAATTAAAATTAAAGGGACTCGAGGGAGGAGGAAGTTTCCGGTGGGGCTAGTGAAATGGGAGAGGAAAAATTTTTAGAGAGAGAAAATCTGGCTAAAATCTCAACTCAATTCTAATTCTTTCTCTACTTAATAAGTTTTCTTTCAACAATTTTGTATCTCTTGTTTTTTTTTTTTTAGTTTATTTCGTAATAAGTTATGTGCACGAATCTTTATCAAACTGGAAAGACGAATCAGTCTGTCGAATCGAATATGGCTCTCATGAATGATCAGTTTTGTAAATTTAAGTTTCAACTATATTTTGAGTTCAAGCTGGATCTCTTTATGAATTATCGATACATGTACTAGCTTTACAAGACGAGTGAATCATCAGAAAATCAACAGTAGGTTGTTATTGTTGTTGTTGTTGTTGTTTTTTTTTTTTTTTTTTTCAATCTTTTCCTGCAACCATCGCATAGACATCAACAACATCAAATATCAGGCTACATTACTCATGGTTCTTATTGACAACCTTATCACTGCTGATTGATGTTAACCTCGCCAAAATGACAATTTGGCATTGGGCTTTCCAAAAATTAATTTACCTATGCTTTCAAAAATCAGTGAGACACACACACACCCGAGAATCACGGGTACAAAATTAATTCAGTTTATTTAACTTCTCTTACCTATGCTTTTCATAAGGAGGAATTTCACACACACACACACGCACCCGAGTATCGCTTCCACTTTCACTTAACTGTTGAAGACATCTTTTCGGTTGATTACTAATACAAGAGCAAACTGAAGTGATTAATTCGCTGCTTAAATTGATTGGCACAAGTCAAAAGTCTATATATAATATAATGAATTGATACGTGATTCTTACCTATCCACGAAGAGGAGAAGAAATCATAAAATGGTGCAATTTACTGTGATATACACTCTCTCTGTCTCAAAATTATTGTCTAATTTTAGATTTTCGCTCATTGTTCATTTTGTACTAAAAATAAAAATTCAGACTGGACAATAATTTTGGGACTCGAGAAATTGTATATGACAGAGAAATTTTATTTGCACCAAAAAAAAAAAAAATTGTAATACTGGGCTTATGCTGCTGGTCAAACATTACAAAAGTCATCATCAATTTCCCAAGTTATTTCAGACTACTGATCACATTATTATTATTATTATTATTATTATTATTATTATTATTATGTAACTTTAGAGAAACAAAACAACCAAAAAAAAAGCCCAAATTCATGAGTAATTATTTTGAGAACTTTTGTGATCACATATGGCAAACAATTGTGTCTGGAAATTCTTTATTACCATGTACTAGATGATACCCGTACGTTATACGTAGCAAAAATATCATAATTTAAATAAGTATAATGAAACAAACAAATGTTTGGAAAAACGTATATGATACAGATTTCAAACATCGTTAATCATGAATCAATTAGTGTTCAAAAAATGCAATTAGTGTCTAAATAATGCAGTCCATAAGGAATAAATTGTGTGACTTTATTTGGACACCAAATTAAAAAATTATTAGAAAAAACTTTTAAATTTGAATTACATATACCATAAATTTGAACACTTTTTTGTAACAATATTTATAGTTTGTTTCTCACATCACCGTTTTGATCACATAGTATTACTTTAATTCATTGTATTGAAATAACCAATTCATGACGAATACGGAACGTGATACATATAATCTAACTCGGACTGGACCTCACTTTCATTTATCGTCATTGATAAACAAATGACAAAAAAACTTGTCTTCATTTTGTACTGAACCACAATTTCAAATTTCATTTCACTTTTATACAGTGTTCAACTATACAGCTAGACCATTTTTGGATAGAGATATCTTTTTAATTCCTTCAGCCATGCGCTAAAATTCTCCCATCTGCCTATTACTTGAAGATCTTTACCAATCTATTGCTGTGGGCTATAATCATTATCCTCTTCGACGGGTGATTCTTGAAAGTTGTAAGTCAAGTGGTAATTGAGGTGAAAATACCAAAATAACCTCCTCTCGCTTTTGGGGAAAAAAAAACAATTAACTCTCGTTGCCTTCTTCCTTTGTTTGCTTTTAGTTTAAAGTATTAATCTTGAGTGACCTGAAATCATGGTAGATTAATGCAAACTGTAAAAACTTTTTCTTAAAAAAATAAAAATCAGTGAAATCAAGTTACCATCTAAAGATATTCCTAATTAATTATGTCATAGAGAAAATTAGCAATAATTGGTCTATACTTTTAAGGAGAAAATTAGCAATAATTGGTCTATAGTTTTAAGGAGAAAATTTGTGTAAATTAGTATGTGATAAAAAAGAAAAAATTAAAATCAAATCTTGAAGAAAAATTACAACATTCAATCCAAATAACCTACCCAATTCGAAGTATGATAATGTACTGCACAAACACAAACTAATGGAGGAACAAAAGGGACATTAAACTATAACATAATAGTGTTTGGAAACCAAGAGTGTGCTCTGAAAGTCCTTCTATTGAAAATTTAACCTGCAAAAAAAAAAAAAAAGAGAATTTCAATCCAAACTATATTAATTGAAACAATGAAAAGAAATAGGAAAATACTATTACATTTAATCGAATTGATCATATTGAGACCTTCTACGTTAATGAA